TGAGTCATAAACCAAGAAATATTGGCCTACTACAAAATACTGCTTTACTGCAGACTTGCACCTGACCCATCACAGCCAGAGAGCCTCACAATCTCTGCTACTTTTGGCACAGACAGAGGGCTGGTGGAAGCCACCGCTAAAAATTCTGTCCTGGACTCCAAACTTTGCTGATGTCATCATTGAGTTATTCACCTTTTGAGAGGAAAGAATACCAACAAAAGAAGAAATGCTCTCTTCTTTGGGGGCTTTTACAGGCTTCCCAACTATATCTCATCGAATGAAAGGAAACTATTGTAAAGTTCTAACCTCCCAACAATTTAGTAAACCCTAAACCCTAACAATTCAGTAAAAAGGTGAAAGTTACGCACTATATAAACAGGGCATTGTAATATTCCTATACCAGATACATTTATTTGGAAAAAACAGTCAGTATTTCAGACATAAGTACTGGATTAGGTTGGTTAGTTGGAGGAACATAAAGACGAAGTTACTTCCCCAGGGAGCATAAGGCATGACGGCATTTTTCCTCTAGTCCAATTCATCTTAGATCACTCTAAAGTGTAATTTCAAGTTTTTTGCACTGAAAACACAGTGACTACCCAGCAGAACTGCAAAATGATATCTGTACACATGGAAGGTAGAAGTCTGGAATTAAGGTTTTAGTTTTTGAGTTTTTTTAATACAGGGACTAACATGAAGTGCATTCAGTAAGGGTTGTAGAAGACAGGACTCGCCATCTCTTCCCTCACAGCTGAATATTTCATTGTACAAATCTGCTTCACAAATTTAGCATGGGGTTTTTGTTTGGGGTTTTTTGCCCTTTGGCTTTTTTTTTTTTTCCCTCAGAGGGGTAGGAAGAGAGGGAAGTTGGATGGATATTAGTACAACCTGCCAACCCCTGAGACATAGTGAATTCCTGCAAACAGGTTCTTGCCGGTATTCTCAGCTGGCATCAGGATTGGAAGCTACCGATAGTCAGAAAGAACAGAGATTTTTAAACCCTTCTGTCTTTGTGTGCCTGTATTAGAAACACCAACTACAGTTAAGCCTAAGTAGTATCTAAGAAAAATAAGGTTTATTGCAGTGTACGCTGAACATAAAAATTACATCTACCTTAGCAACTAATGTGGACCAGCTGGAGCAGATCTGTAGAGAAAGTGTTGGTGCTGAGGACCTGATGCCTCCGTGATTCACATTTCATGGCATCTATTTTCTGGCTGGCTGGCTTTCTTAATTTGGAGTACCTCTAAAGAGGGTGCATTACACACCAAATTATTTCAGATTAAAAAGCTCAGCCTGCTCACAAGTGGAACTGATCAAGAATTGAGCTGGTGTACATTACTGTTCAACTTCCAGCAGCAGAAAAAAAGGAAGATGTCTTAAAGCGCTTCATTTGCCAAGGATCTGTCCCCGTTGTGTCTGGGACTGAACTGGTGTCCTATCGCTAGTCACTCGAGAGACCAACATCCACCTCACTACAACCTCCTTTCAGGTACCTGTAGAGAGCAATAAGGTCCCCCCTCAGCCTCCTCTTCTCTGAACTAAACCGCCCCAGTTCCCTCAGCCGCTCCTCATAAGACTTGCTCTCCAGCCCCTTTCACCAGCCTCATTGCCCTTCTCTGGACAGGCTCCAGCACCTCAATGTCCTTCTCGTAGTGAGGGGACCAAAGCTGAACACAGTACTCGAGGTGCGGCCTCACCAGTGCCGAGTACAGGGGCACAGTCACTGCCCTGCAAGTTTCTACTGCTTTCTCAACAGCAAGCATCCAGCACACTGAACCAAGGTCTGACAGTATCTGTGCAACACTATTGACTACAAAGAGGAGGAAACCTAGTAATCGATGATAATTGCGTTCGTGAATTTTTTTTTAAAAAAGCAGTTACAGTAGGTCTATTTTCAAATCACGATTGTGCTACTCTAGCATAATCTATTGCAATCCTTATTCTTCAGTGCACATGATGCTGTGTGTAACACTATTTTGGGGCAAGTAAATCAATACTCAGAATATTTCAACCTCAGTAATCATACCTAGCTCTCAATTAATTCTATGATGAAGAATTAAACTCAATTCCAAGCAAAGATGTGGAAGTGTGACCTGTACTCACTAAATGCAGAACACCTGCAAAGTCTGTTTTGACATTAAAAAACAAGTAAGCACACACAAAACCAGTATTGCAGTTAACTACTAAGCATTAATAGTTTAGACCACAATTAATTTCTGTCAAACTACATACTGTAATCTATTGTGTTGTTACACACAAAATGTTGCTATGCAAAAATAGGATACACCTCAGTACAACTGAAATCTTAACAGCCTGATCAAAGAATTATGATCAGTCCAGATCCAATTATGCAGAAAAAAGTGAACATTACTACACACACAGAAAGTCTCAATAGCAGGAATAGTTAAAATCATTGTCCATACACTTCCTATGACCTCACTCCTTTCCCTGGTGTTACGCTCACCTTTCCACTGCTCCTCTGGGAGGCTGGTGGGGTCCGTTTGGGCCAGGGACACATAGCAAGTCACCAGCATCCTGAGGCAGACTACGATGGCGACAGTTTCTTCCTCCTGAATCTGTAATCGACTTGGGATGGCTTTTATGTTTGATGACACACTTGTAACATCTTGCTCTTTCTTCATGTGTCTGCATGTTCACAGCTCCATCCGATTTTACTGCATATGGTGCATTTTACATGTGTGATATGTTTTCTCTCCATTACACTCAAAACAGGTTTTTTTTTAGAGCTGGGATTGCATTTCTCCAACTGACCATTGGTGAGCAGTTTGCAACCCAGGTTTCCAGTGCCAGCTGTGCCCCATGTCTTGACACCCCAGGCAGTCCTCTGCACTGCACCCTGTGCTGCCACATCTCAAGGCCTCTGCTGTCATGCCAGGTCTCTATTCCTCTACACGATCCTATTCCATTAAACCCATAAATTCCCTATTCTACACAGAATAACTACTTGCCACTGCTACCTACATAAAAACCTATGTGTATACCACACAAAAAGACTATGCATAAAACAATCATACCCACCTGATCATTTACAAATTGCTGTTACAGCTGAAGGAAGTAAAAAAGAAAGCTCCAGGTGAGTCGAAGGAAGCTCAGACACAGCCAGTCTGCTAAGCCTCAGTCACAAGGCTGTACTGAGTTTACTGTGACCTACCACTAGCAATGGTAATAGCTGGGCTTAGACAGTCAGAAATTCACCCCCTTCTCCTTTCCCCCAAAATGTAAGCATTTGCAACAGACTAGAATTGGACACTCTTTTTACTACAAAAAAAATAATCTGCAAGAACTGAACTAAACATTAATGTCTGGAATGCTATTGTTCTGAAACCGTTTATTGCCACCGCACAGTACCTGCTGGACATAAAATTTGACACTTATATAAGCTTCTCAGTTACACACCTATGAAATAGTAGTTTTAGATGGATATATTAGAGAACAGAGTTATTGCTTAAGTATATTACAAGAAACTTTAGAAGTCTGAAACTAAATTCTAATTTACAGTAGCAGCATCTTGGAAAGATAGTCCCTTTGTGCATTAAATTTTTGCTTCATTCTTACTTGGAATTAGAGAAAAAGTCTAAGTCTAATTTTCAGTGGAATTAGAGAGAAAGTCTAAGAAAAAGTCTAACTAAGAGCTTAGTTAGCCTTTAAATACATATCCAAAGTAAAAAGGACAGTTATCTGTTTGAGAATAGAAATACATACTGCACACTTCTATCAATTCTGTTCAATGGTTCAAAGTAATTGTGTTGTTGATTAATGATTCAAAAATCATTACAACTGGTACTGATTTTTCAGTGCAAAAATAATCTTTAAGACGTCTCTGTCCCACAATTTTTTTTCCTCTTTTTAAAATCTTCATGCAGCATAAGGGTTTCCATTCTCATTAGTCAGAGCCACTTCCATGGGGACTAAGGAGGTGGAACTGTAGGACTGACCCTTTGGACAGGTGGAGGTTGTTCCAGGCTGTCTCTGGTTGATAATTCCACCCTGCTCCTAGAAACAAGCTGGGAGAGTTGATGAACCTCGTAATTTCAGAAGAGACAGTCTTGACTGTAAAGACAATCAAACAGCAATCTGGTACTACCTGCATTTTGGATACAAATTTAAACAAGGGAGCTCTGAAATGGCATACTTTCTCTCCCTGACAGGTTTGTGGACTTCTTCCTAGAAAGGCTGACTACGCACTGTATGTATCTATGGGCATTTCTGCACTAGGAGCTAAGACATGCTAGAGAAGATATGCTGGTTTTCAATTTCCCCATATCATGCAGTTTTATGTCCTAAATTACTTGCAAAACATCTCATTGATAACAATCTTCTACAGTTACTATAGCACACTAAATCTGACAGAGTAATTTGGTTGCTGGTCCAAATTCTGATGTAGCTACTCCAACCATTTAAAAAAAGATCATCGAGCTCCAGTCTTTTAGTTAACATGAAATGAATGAAATATTAGAAGTTGGATAACAGGAGTTTGCACCTTATATAAACAGTGGAAAACCTAGCTTAAAATGTAGGTGTCAGATTTTTAGTTTCCACGTAAGTAGATTTCAAGATTTGCAGAAACTGAGAAAAATGGTTTAGCATACCAATATACAACAAATATCATCTATGCAACATATCATCACTATTAGACAGCAGCTACATAAACTCCTACATTTATTACACAATAGATTTCCACCACTACATATCAGTCTTGAAAAAGTTTTTATTTATCATCCCAAACTAGTAAATATTATAAAAATAAATCATTATTTAATATTCAGTTATTTTTTTCATACAGTTTTCTTTTTTGAAACAGAAAACATATATAGAAAAAAATAAGTTTTCTATGGATGTCCCACAAAGCATCAAACTCCACATTTGTTCTACTGTTACAGAAAAATGAAGCATCTCCGAAACAAGGGAATACAGTCTTGGCAGCCTGTTCTTCCTCCCTTTAAACTGCAATGCTCTGTATGCACATTTATGGAAACTTAGTAAGGCTTGAACTGAGAAGGATGGCTATCTGGAGGAGGTGGAGGAGGTGGCGGTGGCGGTGGTAAAAATGGGTATGATGAGTTGTACATGTTTGGGCCCGTCCAAATCATATTCAGATTTGAAGGCGGAAGGTGGAATTGATGCACCTCATTAACAGAACCAAAAACTGGAGGAGGAAAGGGATATTGTTGCACCATTGGATTTTCTTTCCTATGCAGCTGTGGAAACACTGGAGACTCTTGATATATTCTGTTGTCTGAAGAGTACAGCTGTGGTGGTCTTACTTGTGGTCTCCAAAAACCTGGAGGGCCTGATGGAGGAGGAAACGGATCCCTGGAGAACCCTCTGCCATGGTATCCCCTTGAATAACTTGAAGCAGGGTGTTGCACTGACTGATGAAATCCTTTATTCTCACCTTAAAAAAAAACAAAAACAAAAAACAACAAACCACATACACACAGTTTTAATATTATTTTGGAAAGATTAAGTTCAGCCCTCATAAATCTCTCAAGTTAAAGTCAAGAAAATTTGAAAAGTAATCTTATCAATATATAATACTGGCAAATAATACATAAATAGCAAAATAATACTGGCAAGTCTACTGTTTAGTAACTCATCTTGATTTATTAGAGTAATACAGAAAGAATGATCCTGAGGGTTGCAATTCAGTCATTAAAAAAGAAATTTCACTGTCTTTTCCTCCAGGCATTTTCACTTGTATTAATGAATCACAGGAATACTTGAACTGTGAGTAATTTGGAAGCTTTGGTTTAACACAAGATTTAAAAGCAACACATTTTAAAATTGAAGATAAATCAAAACTGCATTACACTAAAGCACAGACACAGGACACAAGAAATTATTCAAATTCAAGTTAATAAAATTAGTTTACTCTATCAGAAAAATGTCAGCCTGTACTTTTAGCCAAATAGTTTTCAGCATTCATCTTTCAAAGATTAATTTTTCCCTGTACAGGTCACTGTAAGCATACATTTAAGGTTCATAACAAATGTACTGCCACTTTATATAAATACCATAAGAGTATTAATGGGATAAGTGCTATAAAATTAACAGCACCAAAAATATTTAAAATGTTCCAAAGGGCTGCTAAGATATTCAAAAGGCTGTAGAATTTAAACTGTAACATGATCTCTAAAAGATTTTAGGGCTAGAAGCAAAAAGGTATTTAGGGACGTAACAATGCATTAAATCACTGAATTTTAAAGAACCTCTGTGGACCTAATCCTTGACATTAGGCAACACAGAAGCATTTTCACCTCTGAAAAGCTAAGTCTGGAAAGGTAGTCGGATACCAAAATTCATACTCATTTTCATGGGGGATTAGGACTTAGACTGCTTTGGTGCCTGCAGTCCTCTCAGAAGCACTGAAGTACTTGAGTGAATATTTTCATTTGTTGTTCTCCTATCAAAGACTGTATCAATGAGCCAATTATAACGTAGTCAGTTTTATGAAGATGCAACCAAGCAAAAGTCCAGCTGAGACTGAGTTTGTGCCTCAATTTGCCAGATATCCTTGTTGTTGAATTCCATAGCCAAAGTAAATTGCACACAATGTTAATTTATACCACATTATTTACAGAAAAACACAGCAAATAATAACTCAAGACTCCCTTGACAGATTGAGACAGTTCTTCCCGTTGTGTTCTCAGTTATGAAACATAGTTCAATAACAGCCTCAGCAAGCCCTAGTCAAAGGCAGGTCTGCAATATGCTGACAGAATAAGGATATGGTGGAAAACATGCCATATGCTAGGTAAGCAGAAACCAGGAGAGAAAATAACCATCAGCAACGAAAGCAAAGTATAGCACAATTCACATCCTTCCCTTAAGGGAGAACTGTCAAAGCGACAGGGCAAAAGCCAGCCTAAGAAAGATCGCAGGTTTACTTAAAGGGTAAAAGGGAGGGATGTACTGTACACAGAGTAAAATGGTTAATAGGACAGCTACTGACTTCTCAGATTAAGATGAAAGGGGTTCAGTGGGGTGCAATGTCTAGCAGCTTTACTAAGGAAGAGCAGCAGACTCGCGGAAGGAGTCAGTCCAAGGAAAGAAATCGGGGGAAGCACTGTGCTGCAGACACAGTTGAAGCAAACTGATATGTAAGCAGCAGAAGAGGAAGAGGGGAGGGGATCAGAGTCTGTAGTAGTTAAAGGGAGTGGTACAAAAAGCATGAAAGAGAAGCAGGCCAGTGGAACACAGAAAGAAGGATGTGATTTAAATTATTAAACCAAAAAGCAAAAAGTTTCATCAGTAGAGAGGCATGACAGAAGACAGGTAGGAAAATTTGGTTACTGCAAACAGAGCACAGCTGCAAGCATACACCTGGAATAGCTCTGTCAACAGCAGAAGAAATGAAGGTAAAGAAGGCTATCTATATTATGAAAAACTACACATAGTTTTATTAAACTACTGTAGGTTTGTTTATCTAATGACCGTGTTAGGTAAACAGAGAGGTTCTCAGGTTCTCAGTGGGCTACACAAGTAACAATTATTTTAAATTAGTATTCATACACCATAGGTAAGGAAAAGCTTCCTTTTCAGACGGAGGAGTAAATTCTCCATCTAAGACTTGTGTCTTCTCCCTGACTGTCGCAAAAATGGGTTTCAAGAAATCGCACATGGTCTTATTCTATCTTCCCCCTGCACTCAAAGGCTTAAGCTGAACTTGGGCCCCAATAACCTCTGCAATAAGCATGCACTAAACTCCAAGAAGTGGCATCTGTTCTATATCCTCACTGTGTGTCAGCTGACACTGTTGTAAGAGCCTTTGAATCTCCTCTGACAACTGTCCTGCTCCTATATTACTTCCCTTCCGCAGTGTAATGGAAGAAAACTTCATTTTCCTTTTAAAAAATTCAGGAACATAGCCACAAACTCATCAATATAACTTTGAAAAGCACAGAAATGCTGATTAACTGTATGAAAGCTCAATCATTAAGATAGATACCATTGTTTATTTCCAACTCAGTTTAACAGATAAAAGCATTCACCCATAGCATTCACTCACTTGATGCATTTGTTTCTGATTTGAGTTTCTTCCTTCCTTGACTTTGAGGCTTCTTTTTCTTCTGTTTTGCCTCTCTTTCTTTTTCGTCATCACTGAAATCCAAGGCCTGATTTAAAACACAAAAATAAAAAAGGAGAACAAAGCCATATACACAGACTGCAGAAAATTTCAGTTCTAGCAATAAATCATTATCTAGAAAACAATGCATCCTGCAGTCAGCTTAGAAGAATATTAAAGCTGCACTTTCCTATTTTGCATTCAAAGAGCCATCATGTGTTCAGCTGTCTTCTCAATACAATCAAAAACTCAACACTCCACAAATTTCTCTGAAGACAATTATACAATATTAAGTTATTCCTTCTAATTTTCCTAAAAACAGCAACATTTAAGTACTGAACACAAATTTCTGATTGTCTAGATGTTAGTAAGAAAAAACTGGGAATCTCTCAGGGAGCTGGCTAGTTATTTCCAAGAAAAAGCCTTCAAAGGGCAAACTGCAGACCAGTTAAAATTAATTTGGTGACCACTACTTAGCACAGTTACACTACATTAAAAAGTATCTCTAGTCTAAAATTGTCACTAAGTTGGAATATTCTGTAGCAGATTTAATAACACTGTTCCCATTAAACTTGCAACAGCAATGTTATTCCAAAGGAATTTTCAACTTTGGACAATGTTGTCATTTACAACAGATTCACTGTCACTGTAACACTTTGTTCCTGTTACACAAGGTTTTGCTACCTTTCAAATCCTACCTTACATTTAGAACAAGGAAAAGATCTTAGTGACAGGAAAGAAAGCTGTCAGCATAACTAGTTCCCCAATAAACAGCTCACTCATATGCATAAAGGGGTAGGGTTTGTTCCTGCCCTCCCTTTCCCGGTTCTGAAGGGAAGGGTTTTGCTGCTTACGGATGTATCTCTGTAATATATAGAGAGCATGGACCTCAGAAACACTGTACTAAAACAGTGCTAAAAAAGCCACAGAAAAATTAATTATGAATACGACTATTTTCTACGTAATTGGATTACATTCTTGCTCAAAAAAAGCCACAAGGAATACAACAAGATGATATATATATACACATACACCATGAAGTAAAAACTTCCACTAACTCCTGCTTTTCCAAAGGACTTCAATACACTATCCTCCAGTAGAGCAGAAATAACAACAGGTACCTTCTATTGCTAGCTCATTTCCATGTAACTTTCCATAAAAGCCACTTCACAGAGAAATCGCAGTCATCTGTGCCTGCTGACCTTGCAGCAGACAGATCACACTTTGTCATTCTGTGACCCCAAAGACAAGGCCAAGAGAGATTCTATTATGAAGTGTACAGTTACGATGGGCTAATTACAAGCCTGTCAGAAAAGGAACACTTACCACATACCTTCAAATAGCAAGCATAAAATGCCTAACATGGATTAATTTAACATTCACACAAAAATAAAGCTTCACAGTATCACAAAAAGAACCGATTCCTGCAACTGCACAGCTTACTGTGGGAGCTCGCCAAAAAAGTTACAGAATCAGCTACCAGCTGAGGGCTCTAAAAGAGTCTGGCTGTAAGAGACAATTTCAAGCACCAGTAGCATAAAATTTAATCTGTATCCTTGTCAAAAGCTATCACCTCCACAGCAGAAGCTACTTTCTATCAGCTCATCAGCTGTCACAGTTTGGATATCTTAGTGTAAACTCTAGCTGCTAGAACTAGCCAAAGATTATTCTGATTAAGGATTACAAGATGTTAGATGTGGTGTTTTCTCCAAAACACAGTACACAGACCTATGACAAAATCAGAACAGCAACAGAAACAAGCGTGTCATAAAAACCAGTCAAGTTTGCCCATCCTTGTCATCACTGATTTTGTTCAAGCTTGCTCCCTTTCTATAGTGAAGTACAGTAAATCTAAAGTTCCCTTTGTACTTTCAGATTCTAACCTGAAGGTAACAGTATGATAATTCAAATGAAGAAAAAATATAAAAAAAAATATAAATACCAACTTTGGAAAAAGCAATGAATCTGTATCTGCAAATTTCACTGCCTGACTGTATTTAGCCGAATTCTAAAGTTACTTAGGTTCCTACAAATTCAAGTCACACACTTAGAAGCTTATCTCCTGAACAGCTTTAAAATATGACAAAGAAACAAAAACAAAGAGCTCACCATTAGCAAATCAGCACATTTCATATCATCATCACTAGAAAATTATTTGATGAAAGAATGCTAAGACTAGGCTAAAGTTTCTAAGCATACACAGTGTTTCAAAGCTCTACTGATCGCATCCTACAGTCCAATTCTACACAACACTTCTAATTCTCGAGCGATGATTCTCTGTGAGATGAAGTCTCCCCAAGAACGGAAGGGAATTTACAGTCAGAACTGACTGACAAGCATGCTTTGAGAGAAATTAACACTGCTCAGCTCAGTTCCATTTGTGGAAAGAAAAAAAGGTATTTCAAAATGCATCATCCTCACCATAGCGAAAAAAGCAGCGTTCTGGGTTAACAGACTGATGCATCACTACAGGACCTATCTTCAAGCATACAAAAGCTCGTGTCACAATCTCTTCCATTCAAGCTAGAACAAGTGGCCTGGGCTACGGACTGCGAATGCAAAAATGGATACTGTCCCTCACAGCAGCCTTCTGGACAAGTCGTCCAACTGTGGGATCAGCAGGTTTATGGTGCACTGGGTGAAGAAATGGCTGAAGGGCAGGGCTCAAAGGGTTGCAGTGAATGGGGCTACACACGGCTAGCAATCGGTCACCAGTGACTTTCCTCAGGGTTCAACTCTAGGGCCAGTTCTGTTCAATGTATTTATCTACAATCTGGATGCAGGAGCTAAATGCACCATTAGCAAGTTTGCTGACAATACCAAACTGGGGGATGCTGTTGACTCTCTTGAAGGACAAGAGGCCTTGCAGAGGGATCCAGACAGACTGGAGCTTTGAGCAGTGATTGATTAATGGGATGAAATTTGACAAGCCCAAATGGAGGATTCTGCACCTAGGATGGAGAAACACCAGGCACAAGTACAAATGGGGAGAGGAGGGGCTGGAGAGCAGCCCTGCAGAGAGGGACCTGGGGGTGCTGGCCGGCAGCAAGCTCAGCATGAGTCAGCATTGGGCCCTGCAGCCAGGAGGGCAAACCCCATCCCAGGGTCCATCAAACACAGCACAACCAGCTGCTCCAAAGAAGGGACTGTCCCGCTGGATTCAGCATTGGTGCAGCCTCACTGTGAGTACTTCGTGTGGTTGTGGGCCCCACAATTCAAGAAGGTTGTGAAGGTTCTTGAATGTGTCCAGAGGAGGACAACAAAGCTGGTGCAAGGGCTGGAAGGTATGTCCTATGAGGAGCAGCTAAGGACTTTGGGCTTGTCTGGTTTGGAGAAAAGCAGGCAGAGGGGAGACCTCCTCTCTCTCTGCAGCTTGCTAAGGAGCTGACATGGAGAGGGAGGTGCTGAGCTCTTCTCCCTGGTACCCAGTGACAGGACACGTGGGAATGGTTCAAAGCTGCGCCAGGGGCAGTTTAGACTGGACATTAGGAAGCATTTTTTTACCAAGAAGGTGGTCAAATGCTGGAACAGGCTTCCTAGAGAGGTGGTCAATCCCCCAAGCCTGTCAGTGTTTAATACGCATTTGGACAATGCCCTTAATACCATTCTGATTTGAGTTTCTTCCTTCCTTGACTTTGAGGCTTCTTTTGGTCAGCCCTGAATTGGTCAGGCAGTTGGACTAACAATCATTGCAGGTCCCTTCCAGCTGAAATAGTCTATTCTAAAAAACTGGTTAGAACACTAAAAAACCAACCCACCCACAAAACCCACCTTTCCTACTCAGAGTAAGAAGCAAACTATGCTAACTATGCAAGCTTTTGGAAGATTCAAAACAAGCAGACAGAGACATCTCTTTAGGATACTACGGTAGACACAAGGCTTCTAGACATTTCAGCTCTCCTGGGTAAGATATGCTTAAAGTAGAAATTGCAAGGAAATGTGACTGAATGCTGAGCTAGAAAACAAATCTCATGAAAACACATCAATACAACTACCAGCCTTGTGATTCTTACTAAAGAGAATGGTCACGAAAAGTACAGTTAGGATGCAGTTAAGGAGCACTGGACAGGAAGCCTGGATGTCATTGACGAAATCTTCATGGATGCTACAGTAAACGATGTCAATGGTTGTGAGGAGCTCTTACTTCTACATGATCCTGTATTACTGCCTTCGTACGGAAGAAGCTCATCTTCTCTCATGGAACTAGTGTTTTACAACAGGAAACAGTAGGGAAACCTTACTAAGAAGCCATTCAAAGAATGCAACAGAGGAGTTCTCATGTTAATCTAACAGCAGACAGCTTAAACACTCAAGTAGCACAGTTTGCAGAGTACTAGTGTGCATTTAAAGGCAAACAATTGCTTGTGGCAAGGTAAAAGACAAAGCTGCATTCAAATAATAGCAAGGACAAAAATTCCCTAGTGGAAGCTAAACTATTATGCAAGGTAAAAGCACTGCTCCTCAAAGCTGAACGTTCAGGTTGCCAAACACGTTCTTGAAGGACTAGAGGAACTGAAGATAAAATTATACATTTTCCCAAATGCAAAAAGCAAGTAGAAAAAGACAGCTAGTACTCTCTACACTGTGAGACCTCTCCAAGAAAAGCACAACCTTCTTTTCAATGAAGAGGTACATCCAACCCTTGTCTGAGTAAAAATAAATAAGCTTGCTAATTACTCTGCACAGAAATTTTTCTACATATAGCTTGTGTAATCAAAAACAATAAACTCAAAAAAAAAAAACCCCTATAGTTACTTCAGGTGGTGGTTCTTGGTCATTCTTCCAAGATGCATCTGAACCTTTTTCCCTAAAAGAAAAAAAAAAAACAACATTCATTAGACAATCAAGATGAAGGAAGATGGCGTAAGGAGACTATGAAGTATGTCTTGTTTAAGTCACATAGTAGCAATATATTCCAGGTTAGAAATAATTTGCATATACTGTAACAAATAGAGTAACACTTTCTTCAAGGTACCAGATCTCCTAACAGCAGGAGGTGCCTGTCTTAAGAGACATTTGTTTTAAAATGTTGTTTCAAAGTAATGTACATGTCATCTTAGGACTTCACTACATACATCACTTGAAAAATCTTCCTACTTTAAGTGAAGACTGAGCATTTCACACAGCTAATATTAAGCTTTGACCAATATTCCCTCAACACATCATTTTGAACCTGAATTGCTTTGAACCTGAATTAAGATAGTTCACTGCAACTTTCTTACGCTGAATAAGTGCTGACTACAGCCAAGCTTTCTTATTACTCTGGATTCAGAACATGTATCTCCAGTTAAAAAGGACAATGAACTAGTCTTGCAGGACACAGGCTATGAATATAACTATAGCGAAGTGATTTCAGAACCAAAAAACCTCTAAGCTTGGCTTATAATTCTATTAAGACAGTGTTAGCTAGATAATTAGGTTTCATCTTCTATTTTGTGGTAAATACAAAATTAAAAAGATAAAGACCATCTTTGTTTTTGTCTTGACTGACAAACACCAAAATTAATTTGAAGTGTTATCATTCATTTTAGCTACCACTTTAAGAACTTCACTAAAATCAAGTCATTTCTTTGATTAGTAACAAATTTGTGGAATTAATTCAAATTATGATGTCAAAAGTCTGTGGAAGGTTTCTGCACACGGCTCGCAAATTTGGTATGTTTTGGTCTGAAATGTCCAGACACAATCCTCTTCTATGCAGGCAAACTATATAAAACGATGCAATACTGAAAATTCTTACTTGAAAATGCAACCATATAGTTAAGAACACCGTGTTCAGTACGAAATGTCTTCAATCAGTGCTCTAATAATCAAGGGGTTTTTATGTATTAATCAAATCAGCAACAATCAAGCAGCCACAGCTACATCAAAGTACACAACCATTGACTTAAAAGGCCCTTAGTCAAAAGCTGCCTATGAGAACGTGGGCAAGTCACCTGGAGGTACTTTGTGCCTCAACCCCTAACCATAAAACTGAAGCTCAATCTCTACATATCACTGGAGAATCACAAAGACACCCCACCTTTGTGATTACGAGCAAATTGTATTAGCTCATACATACATAAAAGCAAGCCATTTTAAAGTTCAATTAGAAGAAAATGTTACAGGGAGGAAAGGAAGATAAGGGCTCTACATGAGTAATTTCTCAGCTGCAGAAAACTCTATCTATGCAATGATGAAAAGTAACACTTTTTTTTTTTAATATGAACCAACTTCCTTGGTTCTCCCTCTCATCTTGTTATTTTGGGGCCATACATGCCTGACAAATACCAGAGCATGCACAAAACTGCAGGACTTGTGGTCATTAGGCAATATGTAGCACTACTGACTGCAAAATGTAAACCTTCCAAGTCCTTCAGGCAGCTTCTCCCACTCCCCCAAGGCAGCCTTCCCCATTTCAGCAAAATACAGAACACTTCTCATGCTCCGAGATACTTAATAATCTTCTGCAAAGAACAAGACAGATATTCTTTGATTTCTGAACTCAGTTACTGTAAGATCTGGAAGCCTACCAAAAAGGGACTCAGGAATCAGGAAAATACATGAGCTTCTTCAGAATTATTTTGTGCTTCAGACAATACGACACAAACCTACTTTTAGCAACAAATTTTTCTGCCTTCAAGAAGTTTTACACTACACTTTTATTTATTCTGCTATAAAGTGTAAGGCTCCTTCATAGCACTGCAACTTTGTACAATGCAAGCAGACTGCATGCCAACTTTCAGAAAAAGCTTCAAATTTTAGATTTCTTTCAGATCTTAATCCTGATTTCTCTCCTTTTCAAGGTACCATCACAGTTTTGAGTAGTGGTTCTAAAACTTTAAGTCTGAAATACTCCACAAGCTGGTGTGCACACAAAGTAACAAAAAGCAGAAAATAAAAATCACTGGCCATCAAATCCACAATCTGCTAAGGTCCAAAAACCTTTCTGTGAAGCACTGACTGAAGCTCAACTTTTCTGCTATCCATGCTGTCCTGGTTTTGGCTAGGATAAAGTTAATTTTCTTTCTGGTAGCTGGTGCAGTGCTGTGTTTTTAATTTGGGATGAAAATAATGTTGATAACATACTGATGCTTTTAGCTGTTGCTAGGCAAGTCATGGACTTTTCAGCTTCTCGTGCTGCCGAGTGCATGGGAAGCTGGGAAGGGACACAGCTGGGACAGCTGACCCGAACTGGACACGGGATATTCCATACCATAAGATGTCATGCTCAGCATATACAGTGGGGGAAAGAAGGAAGAGGGAGACATTTGGAGTGCTGGTGTTTGTCTTCCCAAGTAACTGTTACATGTGATGTAGCCCTGCTTTCCTGGTGATGGCTGAACATCTGCCTGCTGGCAGGAAGCAGTGAATTAATTCCTTATTTTACTTTGCTTGTGCGTGCAGCTTTTGCTTTACCTGTTAACTGTCTTTATCTCAATCTATGAGTTTTCTCATTTTTACCCTTCTGATTCTCTCCCCATCCCACTGTGGGGAGTGAACAAATGTCTGTGTGGTGCTTAGTTGCCCACTGGGGTTAAACCATGACACGTGCCATCCTGGTTTCTTCATACACACATTACAGCACAGATCAGAAATCAAAATTCTTTATGCTTTTTCAATAACACCTACTCTGCAAAAAGGTATCTTCAACAAATAGTACAAATTGCCTCACAAAAGCTTAAGAAACTTTACTGACGTAACTCAAACAAAATATTGTTTCAGTGAAATGTAACTTATATCACATTACTCAGAAATTATGGTTTCCATCAGATTACACAGGCATTCGCGATGCTTATTTTAATGCAGGGCAAGAAACAACGTCTGATGCACTGTTCAGCTGCACTGATCAGTCATGAAAGTGTGAAATAGCCTTCCTAGTGTTCAACTTTGTACAATATATGGTAGTAAAGTACTACCAAAAGACAAACAGTTCCCAAAACTACTTGCAAAGCATGTAACAAACTAAAACATAAGTCTCACGTCTTAGATGCTGAGTACGGCACACAGTTATTAATGTAGCAAGCAGATGATTAAAGTCTGTGCAGTTACTGTGCTAAGCAACAAAGTTTAGTGGCACAAATCAAAGACCAGCTGGCATCAAAATGCTGCAGTAAAACAAACAAGCAGCAGAGTGAGAAAGTGATCTATTTTGGTCTTCACTGAAAGGAAAAAAAATATGCTTGCTGCTCCCACAGAAATGGGAGAGGAGGGGAGAAAAAAAACAAACTCATGCAGGCCTGGCCATACACGCACATTACTCAGTACGAATACTGGAAGAGTTCCATTTAATGCAGGCACCAATATTATTGGCTATAGTCAGAAAAAAATTGCAAGTCAGACAAGAACTAAACCTAATAAGCAGAGATGAAGTCATATGACAAATTACTTTTTTAACCTACAGTTATTTCAGACAATTATTCATCAGTAATTAGAACACTAATGTCCAGCAGTCATTTATTATGCTTTATTTCTTATTATGTATCTTTGAGTACATGTCCTTTTAAATTGCAACAAGTCCTATTCATGCACACTACTTTCCTCAGGCAGACTGGGATACACGAACACTATTGAGAAGTTTCTGAACATCATAATACGTTGGGAGAGGGGAGGGATTTGAGTGGCAAGTTTACAGCAGGTAATCTTCATATAAAATTCTTATTCTCCAACTGCATAATAGACTTATTGATAATTAAGTTCTACTTCTGGCCTTGTAACAGGAAAGAAAAATGGTAAGTAAACACTAAATTGTTCAGAATTCAAACACGTTTATTATAAGTTATGAAACTAAACAAGAATCTGAAGAACAACAAAATGCGTAAAGTTCAGCTTGCAAAACCATTACGTGGGTATGTGTGTGATAGGGTGTGGGGTAGGGAAGTATCAATGAATTTTTTTCTGGTTATGATATTTTAGGCAACACAGCAACATGAAAAGAAAGTAAGCTTAATACATTAAATTGAATAAGAAGCTACTAAAGTTTAGTAATTATAACACTTCAGAAGCCTGTAGCTTACAGCTACACTGTACTGTTCTGAAAGGCGAAACAGAACAACCTTGTTATTACAAACACAGAAAAGTTTTAGTGTCAAGATTAGCCCTACAGTTTCTCGCTCAAGGTTAAACTTTAATTCAGGATTTTTAGTTATGTTAAAAAATACATTATTATCAGATTAGAAAAGAAGTTGGACTCACTGTTTTAGTTTCTCTGCAAATATATACTGGGTGAAGTCCTCCACTGATGGAGCAAAATACATTCTATCTTGCACATTAATACCTTTCGCTTTGATATGGTCAGAGCTGTTAAATCTTAACACATAAAAGGGATGTAAAACAGGACCAAATATCTCAAATACCTGAAACACAAACAAAATTAAAATGTTTAAATAAACCACTAAGAGTAGATAGCCATTTCCACTGTAGACAACCATGAAGCTTTAAGATGCTTTGTATGTAAGAAGTTTGATATAGCTTCAAAAATGCAGCATGAAATAAAGCTACTTTCATGGTTTAGTTTTATTGCCACATTTTGTTTGACAGTGTATTTCCCTAGCTACTGTTTAAGTCATAATGTGGAAAAGTAAGGCTTCTCACATGTTCCCGTTGCCTTCAATCACCCAACCGCACTGCTTTCACTGTCTGATTCCCCTACTTCAGTAATCTTTCCTTTTGTCAAATCTCTATTCTTCTCTCTCCATTACACTTTCAAACCTCTTACACCTGGAACAATCTTCTGATCTTTTATTCTCCAAAGTTCATCTTTACTAGACACCTTTAACTCAGTTCCCCTGTCTGCTCCCCAGTTCTGTGGAGAGCAGACGAGATGTTGTACAGAACAGCTGCAATTTCAGGCTGTGTTTTTTTGATTCATTCATATCTAGCATTCAAAGATATTATAGTAGGAAACGTTCTAGACAATGGTTTGCCTTTCCCAGAAAACACACAAAATTCAATGCGACATCCCTTTCAGCAAACATTCTTCATTATACTTGCATAAAGCACACACTGGCCTTAAACTTGAACAGCAGTGTAGATATGTAAACATTCCCCTTTTTTCCCTGAAACTTGACTCTAATTTCTCCAATCTTTGCCCCCAACTCCTGACAGTAAAAGAGCGCAGCCTGTTATTCAAGATATCATACATCTGAAAGAAACCTCTTCCTCTCCACAAGCTTTCATAAAATAACAGAAATTATTTAAAAAAAAATAAATTACTATAGCCAGAGTCAAAAGCACAGCAAAACTACATATAAAAGAAACATTACCTTTCCTTTCTTCAACTTCAATACTACTTGTTGGAATATAAAAGAACACTTTGAATTTTATATTAGAAAAACAGGTTTTTATGCTTTATACACACCTTTCCTGCTGCTTGCCGATCTTCTTTAAAAATTATGCTTTCCTCATTTACTGGAGGTAGGCCTCTCAATGATTCAATTACTACTAAAATGGAAAGAAAAAAATCAATTAGAACTTTACGTTATAACAGCAGTACGTAGTTAATTGCAGAGAAACTTCACAAACCATTCCATTATTTGTCTACTAAAGTTTATAGAGCTTCACATGAAAATTCTTGCATGAACATTAAACCTCTTACAATCATACACCCCTTCTGCAGCAATATGTGAGTGGTGAGATTTGCATTTGTTTACAGAATTATTGTTCTCTGGGGTGGAGAAAGAAAGGAGACCAGATGACAGGTACAACAGAGAAGTCTCAGATTTCTACCTGCGAGCTATCTGTTGTATTTACCCAGAAAGTTTCTTAATTAAGTGCATAGCAGCAATATACTAGTTTTTTGAGTACAGACGCACATATATATATTCTGCCTTCTTAGTATTCCAAATGCGATTCTCCTCGGAAAAAAGAATGGAGATGGCTTTCCCTAACAAGTTGTAAGAAGCAGACCAGAACACAAGATACGTCTGACAGTCCAGTCACAGTAGCAATTGGTGGTGTCATTTATGTATGCAGATGCACAATTTGAAATACATTTCTGCTATTTATTGTCATATAAGTCTCATGCTACATTGGGCCTAATCCATGATTAACGGTGCTATGAATGGTCAGAGCGAGCAAGTCATTCTAGTAGTTCAAAATATGAAATCTCAACACTTGGTAGACTTAAAACACTTAAACAGACACAGAAGCATCTTCTTCCTCCATTAAGTACATAGTTTGATATACAATCTCCTTCATTTTTAGGTTTTCCAGATTCAGAGACATAAAGAGCTTATTCTTTACTGAAATCTTTAGAGTAGTTCACTCTCTTTGCATAAAGCTGTCAATACAGACACCTAGTAGCATTACACTCAAAAATTCTGATTCTGAAGGTAATCTTTTCTACCTCTAAAACAACAGAACGCTCAATTAAGCATTCTCAATGCCTCTCCATCATCAAATAAAGTCACTCAAGCACTTAGTGTCACTCAGACTCCAACAAAAACTAACAAGATTATCACTGCTAAACTTATATAACAGCACTTAAAGCAATAAACATCTTGCCAAGCTAAAACTCCAGCTTTGCTACTGTTTCAATCTGCAAACACCTTGTGACACACCAAGCAAGCCTCTGACAACGCTACAGACTTAATAGTTTAGTGAATTTCAAGGGAAGTCGGCCAGCTTATTTTGTGCCTACCTATACAATAAAATATACACTGAATGAACCCAATGTGTTGCTTCAACCATCATGAGAAATATACCTCAGTGAAAAAAAAAATCCACCACAAAAAACCCAAAACACACACAAAAAAAAAAACCCCACACCAAAAACTCTCAGAGAATGCTCTCAACTTAATCCATCACGCATAGCCCCCAGTCTTCCAGTAGGCTAAGAAAAATATTCTGAAAACATAAGTCATGCCAGTCCCATGAAACTCCGGAGAAACATTATCACCTATTTGGCTTATCGCTCCCCCAGCCCACCCAAAATCCTCAGCTTCTACTCTCCCAGGGCCCAAAGTGCAGTCCCAGGGCAGGTTTCTCATATATACCAAAGCTGTTTACGTCCCAGGCTACAATCCACACAGTGAATTTTTCTCTCCTCCAAGTACCTTGAAGCAAAATGCAGCAAATATTCTATTAAATTCTGACACACTGAGCAGAAGTTAAAGTTCACAGACAGTACTGTCATCTTGCTTTTAGCTAATGCAAAGCAAGCATGAACTTATACCGTTATAGCCTCAAATTCACATCATACTATGAAACAGCCAACTTACAGGTATCACACACTGCAGACTGATGAACCTGGGAACTTGCCACAGAGAAGAGCAGAGATTTCCGACACATCAAAGGGACAGAAAGTATTCAGGATACTGATTGTTATGCCAGAATAATGTTTATGATTTCCAAACAAGACCTCAACTCCCCTCATTCTAGACACAAACCTGGTATACACAGGTGTCAATTTAGTTCAAAAATCAAAAGCCAACCTACAGTTAGCGGGTACAGTCCCCACTATAGCCACAAAACAATTGAAATTGAGGCCACTCAGACACCTGTTTCCAGAAGAACGTAAAAGAAAGCAAAACACGTAGAAAGAGGAAGTCCTAAACCAAGGTAGAAAAAGCAGAAAAATAACACAGATATCCTGGGCTTTTATTCTATTCTTAAGGCTTTATTTCATGCATGATTATTGATCTTTTTCCTAACTTTCACCAACCAGTCTAAATTCAACACTTCATATATTTGGGGGTTGGACTAGATGACCCACAGAGGTCCCTTCCAACCCCTAATATTCTGTAATATATTTCAGTTACATAAAGTAGAATACAGACTCAAGAATTCACCTATCAGTGAACTGACAGGATTTGAAAAGGTTATACGCACCAAGGAGGATTGGAAATTAAGGACAGTTTTCAAAACTGAAGTCTTTACAAACAGCTCTGTTTAAACATTCACATATTAGATAAAAAAATGAGAATAATTGCAACTATGGTTCAACCTTTTCTCTTGACTTACTTTCAAGCTCTCACTTTAGCTGACAACAGCCTTCCTGAAGTCCCCATTATTATCAGTGAGCAAGAAAGGGCAAAGTTGAACAAGTAGACAGTGGCCAGATTACTGCCTTCCACACTCTCAAGATAGCTTCCTGCACATCAGTGAAACGAAATCTAACTAGAAACCAACACCACCAATAAAATACTGTAAAGTAATTGCCCGGATTACCTGGAGTCTTTTACAATAAAAGAGTATTTAATAGCAAAGTTTATTTGCTTTAATTCTTTTGTACCCCACACAACATAAATACTTTAACTACAAAATTGAACTTAATTTCAAACTTATTTTTCATAAGCGAATTGCTTTGAAAGCAGTTCAAGCAGCATGAAACACTTGAAATGAGCTTAAATACAAACATATTATGGATACTTTATTAATACCAGCTTCAGTAAAACTTTGATTTCACGTATCAAAAACTGAGGTCCCAGGTAGATCTGAAAAGATCCCTAAACATACATTGCCTGCAGTTAATCTTACATCCATTGTACATCTCAATCCCATTAAGCTTAATCTCCAGCACCTACAAAATCATGCTAACCATGCTGTCCTACGACTGCTGACACTGGCACCTTGTATTTGCTCAAGGTGCCAGAACTGGGACGGATGAATTAATAAAAAAACCCCACCCTATACCTAATATACTAATTACCCAAAAAGCACTGCTACACTGGCTAAAGAAACAAGTCTTTTTCCTGTTCTCATATATTAACAAGCAAGCACTTGGGAATGCATTGCGCTGCATCTGTGCTTTCAGTTATACATCTCCTGTATCTTCAGACGTAATTCAAACATAGCATGTGCAGCTGTAAGATTTCTTGAAATACTGTAAATGTTCAATCTTCTTGTTGTCAGAATTAATATAAACATCATAGTACACAGTGAAAAAAGACTTTTTATTAAAAAAATGGAACATGAAAGTCACACAGAAATACATGCATAATAGTCATAGTAACTTACTTCTTTAGAAGATGGAAACGAACTAAAAGGGAATTCAACACAAGTGTCATTTGGTAGTTTGAGTTCTCATTCAGCAACCCACTTACCCCCTGAAATAGAATGCTGCAGTACTGACACTTTGAGGGAACAGTTAAGTGCACGATTAATGCAGAGATATACAGAAATTATTTCAATTAAAAGCAAAGCAAACATATTTTGCCTACCTAACTGCTCAATAATGCTGGAAACTGTCCCAAAGAGCTTCAGTTCAACATCATCAGGCAGAATTACTGATAAGTCTTCAACAGGAGGCAGGTCCTGAAAATATCAAGTCAACGTTCAGAATACAATCTCGTCACACTAACACATCCATAATTTTGTTGCTGCTTAGATCTGACAGCCAGAAAACCCCCCTCACATTTTATAGATCTAATAAAAAGAAAAATCTAGTTTGATTTGTCTCTTTCAGAATAATTCTAAATGTACTCATCTTGGGGGAACGTCCGGTTTGAAGACACCTTTTCTATCGAGACACTACTCTACTTATTTCCATTGCAACTAAAGTAGAAGCCAATTTTATTCAACCTGAGAACACCAACAACTGACAGATATTTTGTTCATTTTTTTGAACTTTCAAGTTAGATAAATTAAGTTCGATATATAAAACAATAATTGGATAATCAGTAATCAAAAAAATCAGACAACCTATAACCACATTCAATGCATGACAGAAGTGTACATAGCAAAAGACAAAATAGTATGAAATACACGATACGTTTCATCTGATTCGACAAAATTTGTCTTACCATTTATGCCATGATGCCGAACATTACAGAAGATGTAAAGACTAAAGGACTAAAGACAACAACAACCTATACAAAGAAAATTATTCTTAGCTAAAAGTTGTATTTGGTACAATAGGAGAATCATAGAGAACACTCTGGAAAAAAGTGCCAAACTTCAGACATGCAAATGAGTACCGCACAAACAATATTCAAATTAAACTTTTTTCTCAAATGTAAGGATCAAAATCTACTACCAAGGGCTGACTATCACACATCATCTACCGGCAATTTACTCAAACTAAGATTTCTATGTGAAATGTTTCTACTGCTGTGAATTCAGTATGGACTATATGGAATACAAGGCAAGGGCAACTAGAGTAAGAATTATCTTCAAATTCAACATATTCTGAATTTGGAGGTATAGAGTCCAAACCATAGCAATGAACCACACTTTTAAAGGCCATCACCAGAAATAAAATCATGCTGCAATAGAAGAATCTTGTCCTGTCTTATCAGAACTTCACCTGATAACCTTCACTCTTAATAGAAGTGCTTGGCAAAGGCTTCTAGAGCAACTCAAAGACCAGAGGCCACGACTTTTCCAGACCATATAAGATAGCATTAAAGCAAAGACGTGAATTCAGATAGAATCACCACACCCTTCTACAGAATAGTAAGTTTTCCAGCATTAAACCAAATTCACTGCTAAAACTTAACTGAATCATGGATGCCAGAGCAAGTCAAAGACCAAAGACCAGAAGCAAGCAAGCTAAGATTTCAATCATTAATCTCAAATTGGTAAACTGTACCATCTGTCATACTATATACAGTATCTGCCAATCCCACACTTCAAACCAATAGGTTTCTAAAATAGCTCCACTAACACTCCTTAATACATGCATCTTTTTTTCCCTAAGCACATATTCCAGTTAAATACTTTCTTTAATCTTTTGTCTTTGACCCATGCATTGGCAAGTTAGCTATTATTGGGGACTTTTGGGTACAAGACTAATCATGACGTTTCATTTTTAACAGACACATTTTAATTTTGAAAGTACCCTCAAATCTACATAAGACAATCTACAACATTTTATACAGACTAATTCGATTACTGTAGAATGGCTTAGTACAAGATACAGTGAATAATATTAATCAGGCTAGTACTCAAAAGGAAGACAATGTTTTGTAAACACTTGGACTTGAGGCTAGTAAGCTAGTGAGACAAAAGAGCAGATCAATAAAGCATTCTCACACTAAAATAAATTTTATTTAAATAAATAAGATAAAAGGTAAATAAAACCTGATAAGTACACCTATTTGAGCAAAGATTTTTGTTCAAAAGTCATGTTGTAAAAAATAAAAAGTTGTCATAGAAGCACTTAGAATGGTTCCACTATTAATCACACTTTAAAGCAAAGTGCATGTAAGAAGGAATTAATGTTATGTGTGTTTCTCAATCTGATTAATTTCAGGGATGAAAGGATACCCTAAGAGCTTTTCTTTACTCCAAGTGTCTCGAGAGAAACAGTTTAAGAATTAACGACATACTCCCAATCTCCTGTTGTTGCTACTACTAATGCCTGCCAACATCTCAGCCTTTCCAGACAGTCATCTAGCACATCATTACAAACTCTTACAGGGCACCGAAGCAAAAGCAAATGTATCCAAACTGATCTGCTCTTCAGAGACCTTTTTTCTCTACCTTTCTAACAATTTCTTCTACCCCTCACCAGACTTCTTTCTCACTCCAGAAAGCGTTTTTTATGAAGGGGAGTTATTTACAAAATAACAGATAAACATATACTGTTAATGTAAATTGACATTACAGTGTTATATTATCCTTTTATTTGCAATCCATTACAAATGATGCATTGCTAATCATCCGTTGGCAGATTATTACTAAAACTCATTCCTTTAAACCTCTTAATTTCGAGATAATGAGGAATAATGGCAGCAATACTTAACAAGTATGTTATTTATGACAATCCAAAACAAAAGACAGTATCCTGATGCAAATTAAGGTTCTGATCTGCAATACATAAAACAGTGCTATAACAAAAATTGCAGAATAAACCAAATACAAACCACTTGTATGACCACTTTAATAATTCTGCTTCAGTGAGTAGAGGCAATGCAATCTGAACTTCTGGGAGGCTTAATACAACATTCAAAATTTTCACCTCAAGACTAAACATATTTTAAATGTGTCTGCAAGATATATCAGACCTTCAAGTCTCTCACATACAGAACGGATGATGAAAGCCTGCAATATACCAACAACAAAAAATGTACTAAAATATCCAGAATTTTATCCAGAAATGTATTTGTTTTCATTAATTAGAATTGTGATTTTATAAAAATATGAACTGCAAACCACACTTCAGAGTGGCCTGAATATACTGAAAAATAAGACATTTTAAGTTACTAATTGTGCTATACCTGAATTAGTGTAAAAACGTACATTTAATCACTAGGTATTACAATGACTTAAAAATATATTAAGTTAAAATACTTTAAGTTGGGTTACCAGAAAAAGACATAATATATAACACATTGTACTTACATCAATAGGCAACTCATCTTTTGTTTTAACACAGTAAGATCTGTTGTCCTTCCCATTCGGATGATCATCTTCATCAGATACTGTTGAAGGAGAACACGAAGAGGAGGATGTCGTTGACGAACTATCTGAATCTGTATCACTGAATAAAACAAACATGGGAGTTAGAATACAGACTTATACACTGCTCAAATACCTTTGATATACTTATATATATATATATACAATTTGTGTTTTTCTTAATTGTATATACAGCTGTATTCACAAGAGCAGCTATCTTTTCTGCAGAACCTACAAGGCACTGGACAAGATCTTTTCTTGGAAGAGTAGTAGCTTCAGCAGATCAGAGTAAATGCTAACAACTGCAATGGCTCGTGCGGGTTCACACTGCTTCACTGCTGAATGGTGCACATGGCATGAGAGTGATCACCTCTTCAAGCTCACAGAGTCCAATTTGTCCCACTGGCTACCCCATGCAAAAGCCCAGCACCAGCATAACTCCCTCTGTCACACTACGCGATAGTCACAGTTTGGGATCTACACTTCATAGGTTTGCAAGTGAAATGAAACATTAGAGTCCCAGGATGATCACTTCAGTATAGCACCTAGACAAATATAGACAAATTAGGACCATAATGTCTACGCACTATCAGCATACTTCCATTTTACACAACACTTAAATTCCCAGTATTGAACATCACTTGACGTAGCTGAGCACAAAAAACAAAAATTCAAAGATAATACATTAAACTACCTTTTATAGCCCACAGTCACCCTTCTTGTACAATCCCAACATTAGCATAGAGCTAACTGAAAGTCACGAAAATACTTACTCCAAGCAATGCACCTTGCACTATGAAGTTAAAAAAAATTCTAATTTTTGCAGATAAAAGGGATTAGTTTCATAATCCACGGCCTGTCTGAATTCCCCTAGTATGTATTCACACAGGTTAATAATTTACTATTTCTCACTAGCACATCCATAAGAGATGTTTATTGTCGTAGACTTAATATTTCAAGTAAAAAGCACAGTAGCAAACCTGTCCATATTCATGCCAAAATGTTCCTTTTAGCAAAAGTCGTAAGTTCTCTAAGAGTTGGTGGAAGAAACAAACACATAAAGTAACTGACCCTGGTGACCGAAAAAACATGTTACAAACCTTACACAAAAATACACTGAGACAAGCAAACTTTTGTAAAATCGCATCCATCCTTTCTTACTTCATCTGGCCATTAACAAAGCAGCAGTTAGAAGCAGTCATAAAATAAAATGAAATACAAAAAACGCTCCCTCGTAGATTCTTCAGTATTACGTTGTCTCCTTCACAAGCAAATGGATGGCTTTCAACTATCTGTTGCTGCATTATTTTTTTCCAAGAAATGCCGATGGGAAAGACAACAAATAAGAGCACCTCTCCAAATAAACCTTTTGAAAAAGCCAAATACGGACCTCTTGGAATAAAATCAACACAGCAGAAAGACAAAAATCAGTCAGACTACCAGATACCGATCAGTGGAGAGAGGAAAAGTAAAGAGAAATTAAAAAGTTTGAGATACACATCGACAAGTTAAGTTAAAGCTATCAAAATTTCATCTTTAATACTGATCTTAACATCAGGGCAACAGATTTTGGAAGCAAAAAAATACTCCTGCGGAAATGCAACCGGAAGTGCCGCCTTCGCCGGCGCAGGGAAAGCCGCGGGAGCTGGAACGCCGGGGC